GTTGTAAGCACAGCTGCCGCGCGGTTGATGGTGGTGGCTATTTACACATTGAAATACCGTTAAAGACTGATTAAGATATGGAGTAATGTGTTGTAATTATTATTGTGGTAAAGCTGTATTGTACATCCGCTTTTTATATATCTTATAATAAGTTTGGTATCTACAAGAGCAAAGTTGGACTTATGAACAAGCCTCAGAATCATAACTCATTCCAAGTACTGTAGAGGAGCACCTGTATAGTGAGAGGAAAGCTGGTTCCATTTCTAAAAAAAAAAAAAAGTATTGTACAGTACTAGTCAAGTTATATTCATTTATTTGGCCATACTGGATAGTTTATCTAGCAATACTGATTAGTTTATCTGGCCATACAGGATCATTTATCTATCCGTACTGAATAATTCATCAGGACATCTATCTGACTAATACAAGGTCATTTAAAAAAAAAAAATTGAGTACAGTAATATTATCCAGGGATGTAAGAAGCAATAAGGGTCAACTGTAGTAAGCTGTACTGTACTACACTCATGAACTACGATTGTCTGGTCTTACCATAGCTTCAATAATATTGCCATTATTGAACAAGTCATCCAAACAGTTCTTGGAGTTATCAAGAATCAGCTAAGGCATGCAAAGAAATAAAATTGGCATTCAATTACTTATTTCTTACACTAGGTATTTGAAAACTGATTGCATTCACGCATACCGGCACCTGCCACACTCTTATGTCCAAAGTTTGAAAACAGAGCAATAAAGCAGGACACATATACAGTACAGTAAACTGTACAAAAAGAATACTGAAGAAAAAGCAACTGCAAATTGTATTTAAGTATTTGTTAAGATGTAATTGTCAAAAAATTACCTTAAACAGTCACATGCATCTCACTGAACAACAAAAAATTATTTTGTGATTAAAAAATATATATATACTACTGTATATCCAATATTAAACACTACAAGTACACTCACACCCAGAGGATATTGCTGGCGTTACTGTCCCATTAATACCTCTTATTTTTGCTCCATCGGAGAAACAGATGAAGCTCAGGATATATGAGTGTAGAAGCCTTCGTCCAGGTGTACCAAATTAACTTAGCCAAGAACATTATCACTGAGAAGGAAGCTCCTCAACCAGAGTAATCCTTGTTGTTGGCTTTTCTTTGAACATTAAAGCATTCACATTACATATTGAGGAAATACTCTCAACATTGTAGACAAACTTACATATAAGAGAAACAAGGTTTAATGTAAGTAAATACACATCCTCATTGGTGTCTGTCAATCACCCATTTTCTGTTTAATTAAAAAAAAACATTTGAATTTCATAATTATCTTATTAGTCTTTAAACTTATGCCAAGTCTGATGAAAAATGGTGGTCTGATTCTGAAATCCTGCCTTATAACTGAACCAGGACTGAGCAACTCTATATAGCAAGGATGTCAAAAGGTTAAATCTGCAGGGACCAAGGACCCAAAACTTGCATGCCTGGAATCCAAAAAATAAAAAAAATAAAAAAATTAGATTTGCCTTCACCTTTATGTTGTTTCCAGAGGAACTTAATGCAATGAAGGTAATGTACTCTAGAAAGAGAAGGCTTGAGAATTTTCACTACCAAGTATACTGTACAGTCAGGATCAAAAGTTCCCTCCCTCCCAAACTAAAGCAGTATCGACCTCAAGTGAAATAAAACACCACACCCGCACCAGGTGACAGTTAGGGGAAGTCAATTTGGAGATTCATTCCCGTGACTCAGTTTCACCACAGGGAGTGAACTTTTGTCTGTGATTGTACACTGCTATATGCTCTGATCCTCTGTCTGTGAGAAATTATCTTTTGAACAAGAGACCAGATCTTTCTAAAAGAAAAGATTGTCATATTGAAACCCATGAATGCTTTATCTCTAAGGCACTTTCAGGCAAAAACCCAAGCTCCAGGGTGCCTATTGGCATGCCATTGATATAAAATTTGAATCAACTTAAAACCAAAAATATACTTCAACTTCATATCTGGCTCCTAAAGGATAAGCTCTTGATATGAGTGCACCCTTAAAAAGTAAACAGCTGATGGGTGTTGTTGCCTATCATAATGCTGATGGGCTCCTTTATTTACATCAGCTACAAAAAACTGAATATCAGAACCAAGTCTCAAGATCAAACTCACTTTAGCATCCCCAAAGGAAGAGGGAAGGAAAAAGAACTGCCTTCATTATAAGATGGGATTTTAGGATTAATCTTTGATTTATAATGTTACATATAGTTGAAGCAACTCCACATATCACAGCCAGCTAGTAAAAAGAAGGAGGCAATGCTCCTTTTAAAATGCACACCTACAACAGTCCATCAGGTGCCACACACTTTTGAATACCTATTACTTTTAAAAACATATAGAACTTTTTGGCTTCTACTGGTGGCACACATCTGTTCACTGCCTTGATATTGGTGCTTATAACAAAATTCATCGTGTACAGTATTGTGTTGTAAACAATTAGTGGAAACATTGAAAAGCTTGTACTAAGAGTGAGTGGAATGTAGCAAAATAAAAATCATAAACCCTTTTGTGTCCATATAGCCCTGAAGTGCTGACAGTTAATCGGGATGTCTCTGAAGGATTGATTTACTAACTTTGCCGTCTAAGACTCGCAATAAGAATGACTTATCCTTAAGGTATTGTGACTAAAGGCCGTGACTAGGTTGGTCAAGCTATAACATTCCCAGCACAAGTGTACAGATGCTCAAAGTTTGGATGGTTTTCAGATTATCCTGCTAATATCCAGGGCTGCTATGGTAACTACCCAGTGTGCTCTGTGATCAAACACTGATTAGTAACTCTGAGTGTCAATCTGCCTCCCAAGCTCTTCAATACAGTACATAAAAAAGATTCTTACAGGACCATATGAGCTTAAAAGAATCCCCACAGGACCATATTAACTAAAGGAATTGAATAAAATGCATCACAGTTAAAAGTAGAAAGTAAAATGACTGAGTGAGTTGAATCAGCTTGTGCCCCCCTCCCCCACTGAGCAACACAAGGAGCATTTAAACAGTCAACCGGTCCACAGCCTTTGATATCACCTGAAAAACACTGGGATGCATACCTCAATTTAGAATAGGGTTGTGTTCCTGAAAACCACACAATAAACCGCATAACTACAAATCAACCCATTTTTATCCATTGATTACCATTATAAGTTCGGAGATATATTCCTAAAATAGTAATATACTGGAGTGATATCTCCTATTCGGAACAATTGCTGCAGATCACTTCCGGGAATGAGAAATTTCCGGTTAACGAGACGATTCTCTGAAAGCCGGAAAAAACTCCCCCATCCTCGGAATTTTCTGGAATTTTTTGGGTATCGGGAAAATTTTCTCAGAATTTTCTGGAAAATTCCAATTTTGGGAAAAATTTTCTAGAGAAAACTTAAATTCCAGGTTTGTGGGATTCCAGGTAAAGGAGATGATAGTGATAATAATAATAATGATATTAATAATAATAATAATAATAACTAGCAGCATGTAATAATATGACAAATATTTACCGTACATGGATAAAATTATACTGTATAATACAGCTATAGTACACTGGCAACTATTCAATGAAAAACAAAACTGTTATTTGTCTTACAGCTGCCACAGTGGACCAAGATAGTCATAGTAACTGTTTTCTTTTTGCCAGCCTCAATGTTCCTCATCACCTCCAACTTAAAATGTCTCAGGTGATGGCTCTGTGGAGTGTCTTACCACTAAGGGTATTGCTGCTCCTTGCTTCACTTGCTGGTTGCTTTTTCTCACACCTCTATACAGTGTAGGGTAAAACATTTGGAAAATGCAAGAAATTACTGAGAGTTCTGTTGCAGCAGAGTTGGACTTGACAAGATTCCACTGACTTGCAAAATTTGTTCTTAAGACATGATGTAACCAGTCAAACTGCTTGGAACATAAGTAACATTCATTTTCTTCAGATAAAATGTGTAATATGTTTTCCACCAAATAAAATATATTCAGCATTATAATATATATAAATAAAAGTCATTTTTTAATACTATATATATATATATATATATATATATATATATATATATATATATATATATATATATATATATATATATATATATATATATATATATATATATATATATATATATATATCAGCAGTACACACTCTGTGTACAGTAATAACTAAAATCCCAAGAAAACAACCATATTCAGAGTAGGTACTGAGCAGCTCCACACTGCACTGAGATGTTATCAGATCTGATGGTCTGTTTCTGTTGCTGAACAAAACTCTTCAGCCTTCACATTGAACAAGGTTCCTTCTATCAAGTGCTTAGCTGGAGGTGCACTATGAAGGTGTATGATACTCATAATTTTCCAATTTATTCAACTAGTAGATCTCGGCCAAACAAAGTGAGGTGCCCGGGGACGGGGGTTCTGACCCGTAGACTCACTAAATATATAAAATTGTTCTAGCCTTAGGTAATATATGATTAAGACTTAAGAAATCTCTATGTAAAGGAGTGTTCTGTATCAGGGTAAAGGATAATCTAATTTTCTAAGTCACACAAGTTGGGACCCTGAGGCTTGGGGGGATTCAACCTGATGGTTACACAGAGTTGCTCAGTCCAAATGCAACACTACAAAGTGAGATTTTTTGAGGAAAGATATTAATTTCATCTTAAAGTAAAAGGTAAATTTTTGCTAGACTACTGGGTTAATAACTCCAAACTGTTACTAGCCCAGGTTAAAAGTTAATAGCATCTGTGATCAGACTAGCATCAGTTTTACACCCTGGATGCATCAGATAAAACCATCCTTCCTTGTGGTGGCATTTATTGTTAACATACAGTAAACTTGTTCCCTAAGCCTTAGACCTCTCTGCATAGGTGTTATAGTGACATTGGTTATTACAAATGACATGGATACTCAATGTCATGGCAGTTCTAGGTCACGTGTTAGTCAAGCAAAGGCTAAGGCACATCACACAATATTCATACCAGTACCTGATGTGAAGGAGGCACTGAGACACTTGTAATGTTGACCTGCACAGCACCCCAGGGGTTGTAAGAGGAAGGGGAAAGTGAGGAGGAGTCAAGAGGAGGTTCAGATGGGGATGTATGAGAGCAAAAAGCAGGACGAGGTGTAGAAGCTAAGGAGCGTTGAAGAGAAGGATTGAGGAGAGAAGAGGAGGATGGAGGAAAGAGAGAGTAATTGGATGGCAAAGAAGAGGTATTTTGTTGTGAAGGAGGAGTCACAAACAAAGAAACTGGGCGTGACATGGCTCCCAGCAATGAACTATTTGAGACTGAAGAAGTTGTATTTCCACGAGTACTGAGTGAAACAAATGGCGATTTACTCGTGTCCCCTAGAAAAGGATTGGGTGAGGTAGTTGAGCTGTACGGCTGATCGGAGAATAGGAAAGCTGATGAACTTAATAAAGGGGGATTGGAGTGCCTAAACGATACCTTAGAAGAGGAAGAAGAGGACAATAGTGAAGCATTAGTAGATGGAAAAGGAGGGATGGGAGGTGGGAGTGGGGATGGAGTGAAGCCTCCTGCAGGTAAGCTCTGAGGGGAGGAATGAAACAAACTTTGAAGAAAGTTTTAAGTTTGAGTGAGTTAAGGAAAACACATGAATAACCCCCTCAAGATTTGGATATAAACTATATATACCCAGTTCACTTTGTTATAATCATTACTAAAGCCTCAAGTTGATGAAAGCTTAAAGCCTCAAGCTGATGAAAGTTTTGCTTACAATATATTTGGTCAGGAGGGAGGTCACATATAGACACTGAAGGGGACATAGTGATAATAAACAATTATGCTGGCAGATAAAGGTAAATTAAACTACTGTACCTAAACAGAAAATTTGGAGTACTGTACAATCAAAAACACAAATAAAGGCTAGTTATCTCAACACAGGCACATAATAAAAGCGGTGTTCTAGACAAAAATAACCAATTCAGATATAGCGAACAGTTTCTCCATTACTTGTATATCACTGATGTTAATAAAGATCAGTTAATATCATGTTGGTATTTGAGGACCTAAAGCCAGTCTACGATACAGTAAGAACACTAATTAATTATATATAAAAAATTAACAATTCTCCCTCCCCCTCCCCCACTAAATAATACCTCAAACTAAAGTTAGGATAATACAATTGACATTGCTGGATTCCTTGTAAGACCAGGAATATTTTGAATATAAATGTCATATATTTTGCACAGAAGATAACATATTTACTCAGAGTAAACACTACATCTAAAATTTGTATGTCTGATGCAAAATCTATGATGTTTATATTCAAAATGATCACCAAATTGTAAGAATTCCAGCAATGTAAATTATATTCTGGCCGGGTAAGTTGTATGAATTTTATGAGCTAAAACAAATATCTTCAGTTAATAAAAAATAAAATATTCTTCATGACACTATCTGTCAATCAAAGTACCCCACCTTGCCTCCCCCCCCTCTTCCAACCACGCGGTCCGTCCCAACCCTCCCCTTCCCACCAATCCCCCCTTCAAGAGAAAGGTTGGGTGAAAAAACTAAATTTTAACATTTAGTATTAAATAATACCTCAGATTAAAGTTAGGATAATATAATTGACATTGCTGGATTCCTTGTAAGACCAGAAATATTTTGAATATAAATGTCATATTTTGCACAACAGATAACATATTTACTCAGAGTAAACATTACATCTAAAATTTGTATGTCTAATGCAAAATCTATGATGTTTATATTCAAAATGATCATCAAATTATGGCTAAATTATTTGACGAGTATTGTATGAATTTTATGAGCTAAAACAAATATCTTGATTATAAAAACAGATAATTGATTGGGTCCCTCCTCCCCCCACCAACCTCCCACCGTTGCGGGCGAACAAGCTGCTGTATGATAATACCTCAAACTAAAGTTAGGATAATATAATTGACATTGCTGGATTCCTTGCAAGACCAGGTTTTAACACTAAGCGTCTGGAGGATCCAGAGGTAACACTTGCCTTAAGAGAGCAGCTCGACATGGGCTGATAAACAACCCAACAACAAACAACGTGAAACCCAGTGCTGAATGGGATATTCTCTACACTGTCATGACAAAAACCTGCAGAGAGATGATAAACGTGCTGCTTTAACTGACTGGCAGAGCAACCCTCAGTCTTGGACCAAAGCTGATACCTTCCACAAGAAGAAAGCGGCGGCCCAGCAGGAACCTCACAATCTAAAGAATGACTGGTGAATCATAAAAAAATTGCAGATCAGCACAAGATGCACGAATTTTTCAATTCCACCAAAACATTTTATTGGCCAATCACTCGTGGCACAGCCCCCCTCCGCTCATCCGACGGTAACTCCATAATTAAAGACGACGAAGGCCTCTTTCAGTGCTGGAAAGAGCACTACCATTCACTGCTCAACCGAAACACTGATGTGGATGTCCTGACTACCCAGCAGGTCCCTCAGCATCCACAGCTGACCCACCTCAGCTATCCTTCATCCCTGGATGAGGTAGCTACTGCCATCAAACAGATGAAATATAACAAAGCCTCAGGGCCTGATGGAATCCCAGCCGAGGTGTATAAAGCAGGAGGACCTCTGTTTACCAGCCGTTTCCACTTTCTCCTGAAGAATATATGAGAAAAGGAGGAAATCCCTCAAGCTCTTAAAGACGCTTCCATCATCAATATTTATAAGAACAAGGGAGACCGGTCAGACTGTGGCAACTACTGTGGGATCTCGCTGCTATCCGTAGCTGGCAAGATTATCACCCAAGTCCTCCTAAACAGACTTCTTCCCGAGGCAGAAAACTTCCTCCGAGAATCTTAATGTGGCTTTAGACCAGTGGTTCTCAACCTTGTTTGCCCCATGCACCCCTTTCACCATATGTCAGAATGCCATTCCCCCCTCCTTTTCAAGATTGTAATAATAATTGACGGTTTATTAAAAAAGTTCTGCAGCCCGAAGGCTGAAAATATACATTGGACATAAATGACTTATTACATACATTGGTGGTTTAACAAAAGCCTTCATTAGAGAAAGGTAAAGGAACATACAGTGAGCATACAGATTAATGTAGGTGTTGAACAGCAAACATGTAGTGTAGTAACTCCCTCCCAGATGGTGTTAGGAGGGACCTCACATGGTGTAGTAGTTCCCTCACAGATGGTGTTATGAGGGGCCTCATGTGGTGTAGTAATTCCCTCACAGATGGTGTTATGAGGGGGCCTCACGTGGTGTAGTAATTCCCTCACAGATGGTGTTAGCGAAGGCCTCAGTGTGTAACTCCCTCGATAATAATTATTATAGGGCCTCACGTGGTGTAAATAATTCCCTCACAGATGAAAATCCAATAATCTCCCTCTGATAATTGTTATGAGGACCTGGCGTGGTATAATGAATTCCCTCTTCAGATGGTGTTATATGGATAGTGCCGTTGGCTCTTCCCTCTGTGATTCTTCCTGCTTTGGACTGTTTGTTTATTGGGTACCTGGGGCCTCTCCACTGTGAAAAGATTGCTTAGGTCGACTATTTGTTTAATTGTTCTCTGACAGCACTGTTCGCCACTGTTTAACTTGCACTGGTTCCATTCTGCTTTCCTAAATGAAATTGCCAGCTTCTGCTTGGAGCTTGTTGATATTCTGGTGGGGAGGAGGGTTCAGGGGAGGGAGTTGGTATGGGCCAACTTAACAGTTGACCTGGCTGCTCCGAGAGGAGCGCCAGGTACGTCTTGACCCTTCGGTGGTCAAGGATGTAGGATTGTCTGCCTCAAAAAGTGCATTCCAAATAATATGCATATAATACTGAAAATCCTTCATTTTTTCCATATTACTATCAGTTTCCCCCCCCCCCCTGAAAACCTGAGGGGGGAAATTCTCCCCTGGTTGAGAACCCCTGCTTTAGACCAACACGTGGCACCACTGACATGATCTTTGCTGCCCGCCAGATACAAGAAAAGTGCAGAGAACAGTGTCGTGACCTGTACATAGCTTTCATGGTCCTAACCAAGGCCTTCGACTCGGTCAACAGGGAAGCCCTCTGGCGGACCCTCAGCCATTTTGGCTGTCCCCCAAAATTCATCGCCTTTGTGAGGTAACTCCACGATGGCATGAACTGCAGTGTCCTGCACAATGGCACCCAGTCTGAGTTCTTCCCCATCCAAACAAGGGTGTGTACTGGCACCAACTCTCATTTCCATATTCTTGGCTGCCTTCCTTACTCGTGCCAGTGCCAATTTAGCCGGTGGGGTGGACATCAAGTACTGGATGAAGGGACTCTTCAACATAAGACGACTTCAGGCAAAAACAAAGGTGTTGGCAGCTTCCATTACTGAACTGAACTTTAGTATGCAGATGATCTCACCCTTGTCGCTCACACTGAATGTGACCTACAAGAGATCCTGGTTCAGACACACCTCCACCATCCATCCATACATCTTAATGGTACTACCCTCTCTAATGTTACCCAGTTTCGGTATCTTGGCTCCCACCTGTCCACCAAAGCGGACATTAATGAAGAGATACAGCATTGGAGCAGATGTGCATCTCAAGCCTTTGGCAGACTCCAAAACTGTCTTCAGTTGAAAGGAGCTGAAATTATCTACAGAGTTATATGTATATCGAGCAGAGGTCCTCCCCACCTTGCTATATGGCAGAAAGACATGGGTCACATACAGGAGGCACCTCAAGGCACTTGAAAATATCCACCAACGTAGTCTACATTCCATCCTCCGAGTTTGTTGGGAAGACAAGAGAACAAATGCCAGTAATCTTGCTGACACCAACTGTAGAAGCATCGAGGCTACCATTATCCATGAACAACTACGCTGGACTGGCCATGTTACCCGCATGGACGACGGTAGACTGCCAAAGCAGCTACTTTACAGTCACCTAATGAATAGTAAATGTAAAGCCGGCAGATAACTGAAAAGGTATAAGGATAGTCTTAAGACAAACCTGAAAAAGTGCCAAATTGACCCCCTCACCTGGGAGACAATCACTCCACACCGTAATGCTTGGAGGAGCACCACACGAGGTGTCAATACTTTTGTATTAGCGTGACTGCAAACCGAGGCAGACAAACGCTGCCACCACCCCTCCTGCACTCAAAGTAGCCTTCCACATATGCAACATCTGTAAACAACTCTGCCGGTCCCGTATCGGCCCCTTTAGTCACCTCAAAACTTACCAACGAAGGTGACATCCTTAATAACTCATATCATTGTATCATAGCTGGATGATCGTCATACTCGATTCCGAGTATGGTCACCGTAACTTAGCTCTCGATGCTGCACACAGGAGGAACGAGAACGACAAGATAAGGGCATACAGGGAGAGAATTCAAAACGTTGACCAAGGCAGCTTCACTCCTCTAGTTTTCACAACCTCTAGTGGGATGGGACCAAATGCAAGATGCTTCTACGCCAGACACGCCTGGATGAGATGTCAACTGTCCTTCTCTCTCCTTCGGTCGTCTTTGCTCTGCCTCAAGGGAACGAGAGCATCGGCCCTAAAGCCGACAACAGTTGCAGATATTGACTATGAGGCTACAGTCACTGAATGC